TCTATAAAGTATTAAAATTGAATTGATGGCAGTTTTTATGGCCATGCGTTAATTTCAATATATATGAATTCCAAACAGACTTTCGAATGGCAGTGAGAAGTAAAATGGAATGAATAGAAATTGCACACAACGGGAAAGATACGTTGTGCGGCATTTTAAAAACCACCTCGATGGGGCAACAGCATGTGAAAGTGCGAACTGCCGAGCATAAATCTTGCCAAGCACAATGGCCCAGGCAGGAGAGTAGAAGTTAGAGATGGAGACAAAGCCAACGCAGCATTGGCAATCACAGCCCAAACACTGAAAGCACTTAGCCTTGGCTGTGAAGCTACCTAAATTATGGGCCTGTCTGAAAGCACAGAGGCACAGAGGCACACAGACGGGGACAGCCAGACAGGGGCAGGAACAGAGAGCACCACCCATGCAGATAGGCAACGGCAGAGCAAATAGCGTCAGATTAGCCACAGACGATTGCACTGAAACAATGCAGCATGCAGAAATCTGGATTCGTCTGAACGGCAGCGATATCTGGCCATTTTGTGGGATTTGTTAAACTAACTATGTTATGCTTGCCACTCAAATCGATTTGTGCATATTAAAGCACTTTTATATATTTCAGACACTGTCATAAAATTACAAATTGATTTGCATAATTGGATTCGTCCGAATGATGTTCGTTGAATGCGATACTCAAACACTTGAGCATCATCAATGCAATAAAGAGCTAATTGGAAATGTGAGTGGCTTGAGCAAATAAAATACACATGGAGATGTATATCCAACCAATCATTTGTGCAATGGAATACTAAAATCTTTCTCTGTTCTCTGAAAATGAAATTTAATCCTGTGAACGCAAAACTGCTTGGAGTAATTTTAATTGCTGAAAGCTTTTATGGAGACTAAGAGATAGTTAAGTACTCATCCGGTGCAACAATGAATCTTTTGAAAATCGCAGCAGCTTCAACTGAGATAACAATGTTATTTTTATATTTCTGCATATCAGAAGGATATATAACAAAATTCGAAAACATATATTTATGTAAATATGCTTGTACATTTTGAAGGCGGAAAAGCTTCTATGTAAATAAAAGAAAAATAGTATTTGAATAAGTTTGTTTTCTTTGCGACTTTGTTTCTTGCTTTAGCACATTTTATTATTTATTTGTTTATTTATTTAATGTTGTCCAACTGTCCACGAAGTAAAAGTAAGAATGCTGTAGTCGATTGAATTCGACTACAATATACCTTTAGAGTACTAGGGAAATGGAGATTCTATGACAGGAAGTTGTTTATTGTTTTTGATTCATAATTGCTTCATTATTTACCCGTTTTAAAAATAGTATGACATGTATTAGAAAATAAAATAATAATAAAATAATAAAAAAATAGAAAATAAAAATGAAAAAAAAAAAATAGGATAATAATAATAAAGCTGGGAGCATTAACATATAACTTTAATGCAACTGTTGGGGAAATCAGAAAATATGCAAAAATTGTTAAAAGAAGGGAGAGAGTGCAAAAGAGTGAGATCGGAAAATATATTTACTATTTTAACAATTTTAGCAGATTACTGCACAAAATGCATAATTTATTTATTTAATTTGTATCACAAATATTAATTGTTTTCTATAGAATCAATTATGTCATTGAATGGAAGCTTATTATTAATCAATTGTGTATTAGAACGATTAGCTTTTTAGCAAGTGCAGCTTATATTCACACACGTAAATTACCAAATAAATATATATCCTTTGCTATACTATACAACCTCCCACTTCCCAATAGATAACTCGACACTCAAATTCCAATTCCAGGTAATATCATTACGCTTTTATTAATAGAAATGGCATAACTTTTTTTATGAGACTAGCGAAGTGCAGGGAGAAGTGCCTCAGTTGGCATTCATTTGATTGTTATGGTTATTATATTTATTCGGCTGAAGCTACTGACATTTATTGCAAATAGTAAATGTTTGATGATAGTCACGTAGTTTCTACTACTATACTTTAACGACGACAGTCGGGAATAAAATACCATCAAATCCAAAGACAAAAAAGGAAGCGGAACTGTGCAGAGTTCAAAGTTGGCGGCACATGACATGCAAAAACAAAGTCCAAAAACACTGAAACGTGCCTTTTTCATATTTGCCATTGTTTATGCGTGTGTGTGTGTGTGTGTGTGTGTCTATGTGTTCGAGGCACGTGTGTGTTAGCAAATTGAATTTGGCTGTATTGATTTAATGGCAAGTAGCTGGCAAGGCAAGCAACTCAGGAGACAAGGAGACAAACGAGTCAAGGAGGCATTCGGGTCAATTACCGCTGCTAAGTGAATTGACAGTAAAATCAAAAGTTGGTAACAAACTGTTAACTGATGATGCCACACACCCCACATTGTTCAACTCTCAACTAGCATATACATACATACATAAACACACACACCCATACAAATTGTATTACTTTCATTATCTGAACAAATATTTGGCAGTTGCCAGTTTGACTCAGTTGCGTCAGCTCAACAGTTTTTTTAAGCCGCTTAGAGAGCAACCGAAGTGAAAGTTATTATGTGTTGACAACACTAGACAGACACCCACACACACACACACACACATGTATTTTGGTGCACATTTCATAAATGCGCTAAAAGACAAACTATTTTTTGTCCCAGCTGATGCTGCTGCTGCTGCTGCTGTGTTTTTGTTGTTGCGTGCGCTTTTTATGAATATTTCCGACTCACTGCTGGTTGTCCTCAACACACGCTATATGTCGCACCCGTGGGGCGCCCCACGGTCTGGGGTATATACGATCTTAGTGTTCGCACATATATGTATATGCCGGAGGCCTCAGAAACTATGCACACGAGGGCCACAAAGTTTGGCTGTTGCGCCCAAGCACAGCAGGCAGCCGCCAGCCGCCAGCTGTAAATATTTGCCTTTGTGGCAAGGCAAAGCCGGCAGTACAAACATCTCAACCACTCGCAGCAGCAGACGACCCCAAGTATTTGAGTTGGCTGAGACACGTTTAGCTATTCCTGGCACCTGAATGCGTCGTTGAGCCAAAGCCAAACAAGAAAGTCAATTTATGCGACGACTACAAACTTTATGCCATCCACACGCATGTACTGTATGTGTGCATGTCCTGGACAGCCAGCCAGTCAGCCAGTCAGCCAGCCAGCATAGCCAACATAGCGTATGCGTAATAAATTGAGCAAAAATTTTAAGTTGAATATTGTGAAATGCATGTAGAGGAAACCGCATTTCATTGCTCGAGAAAGCTAATTAACAGCGCTTTTACGACACATCAACTTACGAGAACGAGCAGATAATAAACAAAGGAAGCCTGCTTTAACTCAGTCCTCAATTTCTTGATTTATGTAGGGGTATAAAAAAAAGAAGAGAAAATCGCGTGTAAATTTACGACACACTCCTCACTTCTCGGCGGGGAGGGAAAGACAGTCTGCTGCTGCTGCTGTTAACAACTTTTCGTATTTATTTAGCACGTGTTTTCTGGCCATGTCAGGGGTCATGGGTCAGGGGTGCGTGGGTGTGTGTGGGTGGGCATGGCATATTTGTTGCTTGCTTTTAATTAACAAATGCCTCGAATCTCATTTGTGTAATCATTGCGCTGCTTAATTACACATAAAAGTCTAGCGCTAAATTTGTAGACAGGTTTTTATAGGACATTGTAGCGTAGAGCGCTATCTGGCCATATAAAATCTTGATACAATTTTCAATTTGCAATCAGCGCTTTGCCATCAACAATAAGTCAACAGTCTAACATTTTTATTCATTTATCTCTGTTATACTCGCTCTCTCTCTCTCTCTCTCTCGCTGTTAATCTCTGCTCTCTTCCGCCGCTCTCAACTCTCACTCTCTCGCTCTGAGCAGCCCTCTGTTAAACTGTGCCACCTGTTTTGCGGCTCTGGCTGCCTGTTATTAAGCGCTTATGTTAAGCGACCGCTGTTACCTTATAAATTATTCACATGCCGAAAAGACTTTAAGTGACTACTTTCAATTAAAATGTCAATTTCATTTGAATTAAGCTTGTAATTGCCTAATATAATAGTAATGCCCGCTAATCTATTGTTTAGCCCTTAATTAAATGCATTTGCATACTCAATTGAATTCCTGAAATGTCCGCAAACTCGTCTCGTATTTGTATTTGGTATTTTGATAATTGATAATTGCATTACGGCCACAAGTTAAATGTTATGTAATCAATATTTAAACAATTCAAACTTGATTGTTGAAAGCAGACAATTAAGAGGCATTTGCAAAGTTGCCTCCACTCGTTGCAAGATGCCGCATCCGCCACAAATGCCCTTCAATTGTGTGCACATTTCCTGTTTTTCTTTGTCAAGTGCAGCCGTATTTGCCACCAAGTGTTTCTTCAGTGGCAAGTGCTACAAAGTCAGAAGCATATCTTATCAATTACTTTTGTAAATATGCGTCGTAGAATGCGTCTTTGTTTGAAATCATCAACATATTAGGCAGCTTAAAACTCTCTTTTCAATAAAAGATAAAAGCAGTAATTTTATTTAACTGTGTAAATTGTGCTGAGGAGCTGAAATATCAAATCTATTCATAAACAATAGTTTTTCATTATTTTTAACATGCGTAAATTGTGTTGATTAACTGAGAAATCAAAACTATTCATAACAAATAATTTTCTCTTATCTAAACTCAGTTATATGCAATTAGCATTACACGAGCAGTCGAAATAACTTTGTTGACACGTTGTCTGCTACTTTGTGGTAGGTTAAGTGCTGAATTGAGATAAGCACACGTTAAGTGTGACTGGCACACCCACACGCACCCCTACACACACACACACACGCGCCCACTCACTGACTCGTAATACACAAGAATGACAGATGATTGATCAAAAGTTTGCCCTATCAATAACTTATTAGATAACACATCATCGTCTGACTTTTTTCCTGCTGCACTTTCCGTCTGCGACACTCGAAGTATGCACTTAACAGCTAATCGACACGAGAGCCAAGTGCTCCATATAAAAGACAGTGCATGGCCAGAGTGCACATAGTACAGAGAACGTTGGTTCAACAACGTTCAACACATAAAACAAATAGGCGAACAAAGGAGCAGAAAGTATGAAAGTGTTGATAGCCTTAGCCCTGTTATCCTTGGCAGCGTTGGCCAACGCCGCAGCCAGGAAACCATTGCCCGCCCGCTACGACCACTTCAAAGTCTACAGGACATTTATCGAGGATGACGAGCAGCTGGTGGAGTTTAAAAAAGTTCATCATACCATAGAAGTAGGTACTGCGAGCAGAATCGGATTGTATCTAAATTTTATTTTGCTACTTTTAGATTCATATACTGCATGATATTCAAGGACCAAATCGCAGCTATGATGTTATTGTGGGTCCGTTATTCCAGCATGCCTTTGAAAGAATACTGGAAGATTTGGAGGTGGACTACAAGATAATCGTTGAGGACTTACAGGAGTAAGGCGAAGTGCATGATGATATGAAAAAAAAACATTTTTTACTTTTCAATTAACTTTGGTTTAGGTTACTAGACAGTTCGGCATATGATGAGGATGCGGATATGGACTGGGAAACATATCATCCGTTGGACAAAATCTACGACTGGGTCGATGAGCAGTGCGACGCTCATGATTTTCTCGAGTGTAAGGTCATAGGTCACTCATACGAGGGTCGCCCCATCAAGAGCGTGCGACTCTCGAAGCGTGAGGGCAACAAGGCCATTTTCATTGAGGGCAACATTCATGCCATGGAATGGATATCATCCGCCACAGTCACCTACATTCTCAATCAGCTGATTAACTCGGACAATGCTGGTATGCAGCGCTTGTCCGAGGAGTACGACTGGATCGTGGTGCCCATGGTCAATCCAGATGGCTTTGTCTACACGCACGAGGTGGAGCGACTGTGGCGCAAGAATCGCCGTCCCAATGGCTATGCGAACGCAACGGGTCCTTGCTATGGCATCGACATGAATCGCAATTTCGATTTCCATTGGAGCGGCGCTGGCTGGAATATTGAAGATCCGTGTGATCATTGGTTTGGCGGCGATGAGCCAAACACCGAGCGCGAAATACTCGCTCTACAGGATTTCGTTAGCTCCTTCGACGATGGATACATTCGTTCGTACATGGCCTTCCATGCCTACGGCCAGTATGTCCTGCTGCCGTACGGTCATTCGACTACCGAATTCCCGCCCAATTACGATCAAATGATGCGCATTGCTGCCGCCTTTGCGGATGGTGCCGAGGATGCATATGGCTCTGAATTTACCTATGGCGCCAGCGGCTTGTTGAACTGTAAGTATTATTGTTATTGTTATTCTCTTTTAATGCTGCTTGTTGCGTAAATTGAGTCGCATTTAAAATGTCATTGACCTTTTGCAGATCCTGTATCGGGGGCTGCCAAGGACTGGGCGTATGGTGTTAAGAATATTCCATTCACCTGCACGGTGGAGCTGCGTGATAAGGGCACATTCGGTTTCTTTTTGCCATCCAATCAAATTACGGAAGTAGGCGTCGAGGTCACCGAGGGGCTTAAATCGCTCGTTGACAAAGCAGCCGATGAAGGCATTTTCGATTGAAATCGGTCAAGTGGATTGACGGTTGATGCTGTCAAGTGTTGTCAACAAAATGCAGCATTTGAATTTACTTATAATTAATAAACAAATACATACATATATATTAATATGATGAGCATTCCAAATTTAACTATACGGCGTATGTGTTATTTTTTGCACTGCTTGGCCTGAACTGCAAGCTGTGACTATACTGCTTCCAATGCGAGTTGCGAGCGTGAAATGTACTGCTTGCACTCAGCGTGGCAAGCAGTTGTAATTCCGGTTTATTTCTCAGCTAAACTTTTATGGTAATTTTGCACTGCTTGCTCCTGCATATTTAGCTTTCACTGCTTTTGAGTGCTGACTAATAGCTTTGCATGAACTGGTAACAAGGTTAACAGAGCACCAAAGTCTTGGAAATGTTAAGGTCATTTAAACATAATACAATAAGCTGCTAACATAAGCAAAAAACTGAATTAAAACTATTTTATTTTATAATTAATTGGCATAACTATTTAATACGATTATGATTTTGAAAATAAATATTAATATTTTGCAAAAAATACATCGTGTTATTTAATTAAACAATGTTCGCGCTTTAAAACGCAGCACAACGCATTGAAAATTACAGCTCAGCAAATTTCTAAATTGGAGAAAACCCTTTTGAGCACAACAAAGACCTGACATATAATCAAATCAGTTTAATTATGATGCTAATATTGTTAACAATGAATTTTACCCTAATTAGACTTAAATATTCACTTTTATTTGAAACCTAATTATATTAGTCTCGTTTGTGACTAGCGCAATAATTTATGTCTCAAACTTATGACTTTAACTAGACACAATTTGATATATTACTAAATACATTATATTTTATAAATATTAAATAACCGTAGCAAAAATAACAATTCTTTATTCGATAGAACATGTCAACAAACTGTCTGTCCTTTGGCCTAGAGATATCTTGAGCATAGGAACAATCTGTCAAAAAATTAGTTATTGTTTGTTTGTTGTTGTATTCCAAGATATCCGGACAAAACTCACTAACTGTGCATGTTACTATGCTGTTGAATAAGCTTTAACAACCTTTGACGTGCTTAACCTTCTTTCTTGATTTGGGTAAAACAGAATAATAATAATAAAGATAGTCATTATCTCTTGATTTAAGTAGAAACTCATGTAATCTTTAGACAACAAGCAATGCAATATGGATTACATCACATTTCTTTACTATTTTGTGTGCCTTTCGGGCATATTCCAAAGTTCCCCTCTTATCTTTCACACACAATTATGAACTCACTTATTGCAGTGCAAACTATTATAATCAATGAGCTTTAATTAAGGTACACACTTAAGTGTATGGCTCGCCTGCATTACATATACTTAAGTCGCTTGGGTCAAACGACTTTATCGCTACACAATATTAATGCCCAGGAGTGTGGCCTGTTATCGGACTAATCAGCATTACTGCTTAAGCTGAGCGGGTCACGTCAGGTGTACAAGTGTAACTTGATTTTTATTGATTCCATTTGCTTGGTCACGTCTCACGCATTTGCCACAAGCGAAAAACAAAGAAATTTACAATAGTTGGGTTCACAAGAAGTTGCTGAAGATTAAATGCTCTTGCAGTCGCATGCTCATGTTTTGTATTTTGTATTTAAATCGTCATTTCTAGATGACATACATTCTAAAATATTTAATTTACAGATATATATATCTCAATAATTGCAAATATTTCTGGAAATCGAAATACGAACACATATTTTAGGAAAACTCGTTAGAACGCAGAATATTTTTTTAGGTTAGGTAAGTCTCTACAAGATGGGACTACAAATGTGCCCTCATTTATTAGTTACACATTTCGTGACACACTTATAGGGTATTAAAGGCACAAATTATGCATAATAGGAGCACTAAATATGATGTGGCAATGAGCATAACAGTTTCACGCTCGACGACAGGTTTTCTTTCTATATATGGTAATTTGGTGGGCGAATGCGCATGTTGAAAATGGTAGACCCCTTATTACCCCTACCCTGTGTATCACTTCAGTCGAGTTTTTGGTGTTGTTATTGTTTTCTCAACTGCTGCTGAGCCCACGTAATACAAAAAGGCTTCAAGCCGTATGCCTGGCGGGGCAAAGTTAATTGAAAATTTGTCGAAAGTTAAAAAAGAATCTGCTTAGATGCGTTCATGCTGCCGCCTTCACATTTCCCTCAAATTTGATCAGGGTTTTTTCTTTCAATTTTTATTCGGTTTGCATATTTGATTTCAGCTGTGGATAGCTTGTCAGAGGCATTTGGTTGGCAACGCTTTGAGAGCGACACTTATCAGGTGTCAAAGGGCGAGTGCGATACGAGTGCAGCATGTGTTAGGCAGGCAGCATTTCAAGCACACCAAGCATTTTCAGCATTTTTCAGCATTTCTTTCAGCCAGCACATATTATGGAGAGAATATCTTGTGTACTTCACCTTACCTCAGCACGCACTTAGGTGTATGTACTTGCAGTATTTGCATGTCAAAGCTCTAGAAAATCATTGAGATGTAAATCATGTACCGATATTAAAGCCGATGGTATAGTGGCATGCCTCATTATATCCCCATCATATATGTATATACAAAAACATGTTGAGGAACTGCACTTGGCACATCTGAAGCAGCACCTTCTATCACAAATAGAGTTGCAGGGATGTAAGTGGGCTTCAGGTTATGGGTTGGGATGCAACTTGCGTATCTGCGTTGGACACGTGAAACCATCATCAATCTGCAGGCAACGACAGTTTTAACGACTTCTTGCGGATTACTTCAAACAAAATAACCACTTTGTAGTCGCTTGCAATTTAATGTTGGCCCGGTTGCTGTTGATGGCCCTGGACTTCCTTATGGTGGCTATGGCAACGGCTTTTGGCTTTTCGTATTTGCTGCATTTGGATAAAAGTTTGTGCTGCACGCCGCAAAAGTTGCCGGCAAATGTTGGCCAAACTGCGAACGTTAACAGAAAATGCAGCACACCACATCACACAAACACACACATGCAAAACGTAAGCATCAGTTTTTATTAATGCTGCAGTCAAGTGGCAAACACTATTACAAGGTGAAATGGCTCGAGAATCCTTACAAAAATTGTTTATGGTCGAGAGAACACATTTAGGATTTGTTTAGAAACAAAAGTGAACGAACCACACTCAAGTCAAGTGAAAATGTTCGAAGAGCTTGCTTTTCATTTTTGATAACGAGAATGAAAAATCTTATGGAAGAGTTTAGATTTAGATAAAAAAGTTTTAAGTGTATTTTGTAAAGCTTAAAAAAATACTATATTTGTATCATTTACAAATTATCTCCGGTACGAATTCATTTTAAAAACTGTAACAAACGCGTTGAAGTGTGCAGCAAAGTGGAGACATACTCTGACTACCCAGTAAGCTGCCGTGCCACATAGTAGACAGAGTGCTAAAGGAACACAATAAAACAACCAGACAGAATAGCTAACAGAATCCAATAGTAATATATTAGAACGAAGAACAGATATGTTGATGATATTCTTCTTTTACCCGCCCAACCTGTAAGGACTAATATTCGGTGCCTTTACCCTATTAAAGATGCAAAACTATATTTATCTCTGGAGCCCATTCAACTATTTGAATCCATAATTAACTCCTTATATACTTCATAGTGATGGTATGAGTTCCATTATTTTTGACATTAATTTTAGGAGTTTCACTTAATTACTAGTTTTCAAGTTCATCATTATCGATCAGCCGTTTACATGTCTTACAGACTGATCGTTCTTACAGTCACGTCCCAAAAAAACGTTACTAGTGCTAATATGTACTACTACAAAACATTATATTTAATGCTTGAGTTTGGTATGATAGTATACAAAAAATAGTAATTTTTAAGGAATACAACCAGTATCGAAAATCTAGATAAAAAGAAAACGATACGCAATAGATTACAAATTAAACGAAATAAAAAAAAATGCATATATTTTTGAGAAATTAAAAAAAAATATATATATAATTTAATTAATTCTGAGCAGTTCTCAGTATAAATATATTTAAAAAACATTATATTTACAGCACAATTGTCATAATTACAAACAGAAAACATGTAATTATTAGTCTTTACACAGTTAAGTAAAACACAATTAAGTCAAGTCAAGTTTTTGCCAATACTTAATTTTAATTTTTACCAAATTTAAATTTACTTGACAAAGATTATCGTGCGAGTCTTGAAAAAGCTTAAAACCAAATGAAAATAAACCCTTACCTTTTCTATAAGCAGTATTATTATTATTAAACTATTTAAAAAACAGTATGTTTAACGCATTAGTCTTTCGTAATTATAGACAAATAATATGTAATTTTAATCTTCACAACACAAAATCAAGATAATGATCTTAGCCAGATATTCTTAATTAAAAAAAAAAAAACAAGTTAAGCCAAAGCATGCAAGTATGGCTAAAAAAGCAACATAAATACAGAAACAACCCTTAAAACCGAGCAGCAGCTGTTGCATTGCTTTGAGCCAGAAAAAGAGGAGCGCATCGCAACCGCACCGCATGGAAACCAAAACGCTGAATCCCTACAATATGTTGGCCTGCGGCTGTGGCAAGTCTTCTGGTTGGTATTTTTTATTTATTTTTTTTTGCCGTTACCCCAGGAGCAGCAGCCACAGAGACGAACAGAAAAGCAGAAAGCAGAAGGCTGAAGGCAGCAGATGCGACAAAGCTTCATTAAAATTAACAAAACTTAATTGCAGCTTACGGGGCACGTAGCATGTTGCAAATGTGCTTTGCAATCTGTTTGATGGCCCCTACAATCAGCACACACTGCAGAGCACAGAGCGATTGTCGGATAGGGAGAGACACAGCTGCCTGCCACCGCTGCGCACCGATCGCGATGTGGCAGGCAGCCAGCCTGCCAAATTTTGATGTATTGCGTTCGCTGTTTTAAGTAGGCAGGCTGGCTGGCAGGATATTCCGTGTGATCCTGTGAACAGTCGCAGATTGCAGCTGCAAAAAGGATTAGTATAAGGAACATGACATAAGCAGGCAACAGGCAACAAGCGAACGGGCAACAGGCGAACTGGAAACGAAATGAAGTTGAACGTTGCGTGCAACTGCAATTGACAATTTCAACTGCTGCCCCCTC